TTTTACTCTTATAAGTATTTTAATGTGAGAATAAAACGTTTCCTGTGATTCTCCAGAACATCACAACCCACATTTGAAAACACTGGTGGCAACACTTTGACGTTGGCTGTGAGTCTCAGTTGGACAGGCGCTGCCAACCTTGTAACTTGATTCTCCGACTTTATAATATTAGGTGTACAAATTAATTCAGGTGATTTTTTTCATGAAAATTAGAGTTTATTATAAAAAAAACAAAAAGACATTTAACGGTCGAAATATTCCCCATTATTTTCGATGACTTCATTCCTCCTCACTGGCAACTAACAAATTCCTTCGCGAAAGAAACTTGGCGGTTTTGACTCAATAAATTCATCGATGCTTTTTCGGACCTCGTCGATTGTTTTGAAGTGCTCATCAGCTAGGTGGTGTTGAAGAGATCGAAATAGGTGATAGTCGGATAGGACGAGATCAGGCGAGTAAGCCGCGTGAGGGAGAACCTCCCATCCTAATTCACAGATAATATCCTTAGTCGCTTTGGTGACATGCGGTCGAGCGTTGTCATGTTGGAGAATCACTTGTCTACTTCGTCACTTGTCTACTTCCGCTGCCAGCATATGGCCTCTTTTGCTCCAATGCATCATTCAAATGAATAAGCTGTTGTTGATAAACCTTCGCAGTAATAGTTTGGCCAGGTTTAAGTAGCTCACAATATATCAAACTTCATATCCCACCAGATACTCAGCATTACTTTTCTCGCATAGGAATTGGGTGTCGGAGTCGACGTCGATGGTTCGCTGGGATTCACGTATAACACCCACTTTTGATCGCCCGTAATGATTTTGTATAAGAAATCTCTTCCTTTAAATCGAGTGAACAGAGATAGCGTCGTCTCCAGTCGTCGCTTCTTATTTTCGGGACTCAGATCATGAGGAACCAATCTGCCCTCCTTTTGAATTTTGCCAAGTTGATGTAGGCGATGAGAACTGCATTGTTGAGTCACTCCGAGTTATAGTGCAAGCTCTGTTTGGCTTCGAGCAGAATTTTCAGCCAAGAGTTGTTCGAGTTCTTCATCGTCGAATTTTTGCGGTCGAACCGGCTGTTCTCGACGCGAAAGATCGAAATCTCCGTCTCTAAACCTCCGGTACCACTTTTTATACGTTTTATGTGTAGGACTACCCACAAGACTAAACCGAGACTAAACTGTGGAGAGACCGTCTCGCTCCGAAAAGCAAGAAACTTTTTAGTACTGTCTTAGTCGTGAAAGGCATCGTATCGCCTCCTCCAGTGATGACCACAAAAAAAATCATCTCGTCACAGTCTCCACTTTTTCGGGTTTTTTAGCTTCCAAGTCTCGGTTTGAGAGTCTCGGTCTCGGTCTCAAATGAATAAGAATGAGAAAACGTGGAGATTGTGACGAGATAATTTTTTGTGGTCATCACTGGAAGAGACGATACGATGCCTTTCGCGACTAAGGCAGTCCGAAAAAGTTTCATGTTTTTTTGGAGCGACACGGTCCTTCCAACATGAGGTCTCGGTTTAATTTCGTGGGCAGCCCTATTTATGTGTTACAACGTTTTTTCCAAGAGCACTAAAAATCATTTGAGTAGCCTCGGCAGCATTTTTCTTTAATTGAAATGCAAAAAGAATGCAGTGCTTCAAATGTTGCTTATCGACAGACATCGTATTTACTACCATTTTTTAAGGTTATGTAAGAAGTATTTACTGCTTCGGTAACTAAATACTACCGATATACAAAATATTGAAATATTTAGTTTTTGAACGCAATTATAAACCGCGAAATATAGGGGCACCTTATTAATTTGTACACCTAATACGAATCGCGAGAATGTGAACATTAGCCCGTTGCTTTGCGCATATCTTTTTTACTGTGAACTCAATAAATACAATAGTTACACAGTTGAAAAGCTCATAGGCGTTTTATTTAATGTAACTAAGGACAAGTTCCCGAATCGTCGTCCCGTTTTTACTCTATCGAATATCGATCATCTAGAGGTAGTGGAGGGGGAAGTTCTGTCGTGTATAGATACGCGGTACGCTCAGCCAGATGTTTTGTACAGTCGGAGTCAAAAATTTTCTTGGCCGATACGCTACCACGTATCTCGATAACCAAAACAAAATAAAAACAATTATAACGTCACATAGTCAAATCTGACGCACCGATACTTCCTACCATTGAAAACAGAACAAATCAGAGAAGGCGGAAGGAGCTTGGGAATATCTCTATTCGTAGCGATTCTTTGACGTATACGTCCTTAGCACGTATCTCTACCGTGTATGTATACTTGATATTATTCTATCCAGATCAAACTCGTGACTCGTGAAACTATCGGCATGATTCACAGCCACCATGAGCTTCCATTCGAACGGCATCGCCGGTCCACTGGAGCCGATCTTTCTTCATTGTAACGGCAATATTCTTCTTGATAATTTTTCCTTCTTGTGAAAGTTTTGACGATACCGGTTTTGCAGAGAGTTTTTTCCATCTTAAAAATTTTGTCATCGTTCCGAAACAAGTGGATCTTCTGAAATACTAGGTTTATTGAATTGACATTGAAAGCTATCATACCCTAGGTGGTATGATAGCTGCATTAAATTATCAAAAAGAAAAAAAAAGGAAGAACACAGTTTTATGGAAAAAAGCCTTCCGGCATAAAAAACCCAGATTTATTATTGGAAATACACTAAGTTAAAGGATTCACTGCGAATGGCGGCGTCACACGTGGGTTCACAAATATACACATACAACAGAATGTGTTTTTTTAGGTTAACGATTCAAGAACAACGGATATCACGCATCCGCACATTCCGATAATAAACTTAAACTAACACTTTGATTACTTAGGTTAATTTGGGGGTTGCTTGGCGCAATTTGTTAATTGCATCCTTGGAAGCGTGGCTTCTGTGTCACGTGGGGACATGAAACCATGTGATTTCGTGCCGATGATCGTTCGTTCGCTTTGTTGCGAATTCTCAGCCACTTTGTTTCGAATTCTTATTAAGTAGTGCACTAGATTTGTTACTTATTATTTAAGTTGTTGATTTTGTTGGTTTTATTAAGTTTCAAGTCAAGATGACTACGTAAATTCTGGATTTTTGTTAGCTCTCCAAACACGCTTCAGTGTCAGTTTTTTTACTCTGATGCCATATGCAGCAGTCGGTGCGTGCATCAGCAAACGAAAATGGCGCTTGTAAGGTACTGCCAACGCTTGTCGCCAGCATGCGAACGCAGCTTCAAGCCTTCACATGGGTTACGATGTAACATTTATGTAACAGGGCAAGCGGTGAAAGACTCAGTTATTGTGTGGGTGTTTCCTTAATTTTCATTAGACTTTTTTCTCTTTTAAAAACTTGTTTATGATCTCCACTCTTTCGATCTTCGATATCGAAATCTCCACTAGGTAAATTTCGAAGTGTGAGGTCATCCCTCTTCTGGTGTCACGTTTTTCTTTCCACCTGGCATGGTATTGCGCCATCTGACGAAAAAAATTGTAACATGATAGTATTGCTCATTCAATATAGCAGGGTCATATACTTTTCGTTTTAATTACATTGCAGTATTTACGATGGAGGAATTGAAAAAATCTGTGAGTGTAGTGGAGCTACGAATATTCCTGAAATTTTGTATCCTATTAGATTACCCTGGAGGAGTTGCGCACGGGTTATTAGTGAAATGTGTTATCTGCAATGCATTATATAAATGAACAATACAACCCTGGCTCAATGTCTATAAACGAGATCGAAAGTCCGCTGAAGGTGAGGTGCGGGTCCCACGATCCATGTTATCAAATAAATTAGACGGGAGAGATAGAATCGCAGAAGCTCTCCGTCAGTCACCTAGAGTGAGTGCTAACGATCTTTCCACCCAACTTGGTATTCCTCATTCGACTGTGCATAGAGTACTAACCAAAGATTTAGGTCTGGTCAATAAATTGGCAACATGGTAAGCTCACAGTTTAACTGACGATCAAAAAGAATTTCGATATGAAGCTGCACGTAGCAACTTGGTGTGGTATCGTCGTAAGAAAAATATACTTTCTAGGCTCCCGTGTATAGATGAGAGTTGGGTCGAATTTTATACCCCTCTTCAAAACCATCAATCACGATCTTGGGTGGAACCAGGTATGTCAGCGCCAAGATTACAACCTGCAGAACTTCACGAACTGAAGATACTGCTGATAGTTGCAATGGATATGAAAGGGATCACTTTTTAGACGATTCATGCAGAAAATACAACTATGACATCTGAACATTATAAGGCGTTTTTGGAGGGCAATATTCCCAAATGGTCACAAGAACATCACGTAATAAGTCCCCTTATTTTGCACGATAACGCCAGACCACATAAAGCATGCATGGTTCGGCAGTTAATTGACAATGAACGTTGGGTAGAACTTTTCCACCCACCATATCCTCCCGATATGAATCCGTATGATTTCAATTGTTTGAATTGAGTTGCATAGGATTATTTCCATCTTGAATGAAAATGGGACTCTACATGGTGTTCGAGAATTGTCAGCGGTCTGGGAGCGCGTCCTCAGTAATGGAGGACATTACTGAATAATATTATGAAACTATCATTATATGTCGATTATCGCTTGTTAAGATATAGAAAATAATAAGTGGCCTGATAGTTCAAGATAGGACATCAGAATCCACCACTCTTTGCAATCGACGATAAGTCTCGGCTGCTGTGACTTTTCAGAGAAATAGACTTAATTTTGTTCCGTTTTATGGGAATAGAAATTGAATTTTTTCCTGCCATACCAATAGAAGTGGCCATGACCGACTCAAATATTTATGATTCATTTTCAGTAGTCTGAATGATTTTCTGACTACTAGACTTGTGAATAGTTGATTTTCAAAAGAGAGTTATGAAGATAGACTAATAGGATACAATTGGCGTAAAATAGTTGATTTTCTTGCTCGGACGTTCATTTTTGGAACATAGAGACTATTACTTTTATGGCCATGTGGGGTAACTTTGTTAATCATTATTTCAGCACTGCTTCGCGATATCGTACAGGCGTGAGAATCAACGACAATACGAGCTGAAAGCAGCCTCAGAATCAGATTGCAAGACCTGGATTGATGCCATAAGAGAAGCCAGGTAAATCCTATCGATTTTATTTATCCTTGTAAACCGGATCAATTGAAGAAAACAAAACAGTCAATGATGGAATGATTTCCACATTTATATTTTGTTCCAACGTTCGTTAAAATTTGACGGATCAATCCCACTGAATTTGATGATGTAATAGTTCCGTCGGAGTGCACAGTCTGATGATGATATGGTTGAAACTATGAAGGTTGCTGCCATATTGAGATAGATGTACAGTATCCAACAACCCTTCCCACAGATCATGACGATGAGTAGAATTCTATACTGTTGTATATTATTATATAATCGCAGTCATGTATAATTTATACACAGTTCTACTCCGCTCAGGCAATTGAATTCCTGGTTCATCGCCGATGAAGGCATAAAATTCACAAAAGATTAAATTTTACCCTACAGTTCAATTACTATCGTTGAGGAGCCGACTTTCAGAGGGAATGAATGAAACTTTAGTTGTAAGTTGGTATTTATTTTTATTGGTCCACCTGTATACCCTCTCGGGTTTTTACATATTATTCCCTTCCCATTGCCCCATAGAATATAATCATAAGTACAATAAATATATAAACAAACAAACATGTTTCATATTAAGGACGTAAGTCCCAGTCAAACAAATTTTCATATAATATATGATATAATCTTTCATCTCTTGGTATCCAGCTAAGACAAGACTTTCAAGAAAACTAACTAACCATTAAGTTTGCTGTTTTTTAAACAGAAAAAGAGAATAACACATAGTCTCTCACTCGCAACTATTTACATCGAGATCATTGCACTAGGGTAAGAGCACGCATGAGCTAGTTAACATAATACTGAAAACTGAAGTGAATAGAAAAGAAAATCGATTAGAGAAATGATGAGTGATTGGCGCCCCAGCCTCGAGCCGTTTCTCGCCATATTGGTCCAGGGACTTGGTGGTAAAGAGCGAGACATCGAGTCATCTACCAGATGCTCATCCGGGTTTAATCAAAACTGAAGATCCGTAGTAGACAATATTCCGCCCTCAATTCAGTTGTAAGAGAGTACTTCTGCATCATCCTATTCAACAAGACTAGCTTTCCTCCCTCATTCTTCCCCTGTAAGCAGAACTAAATATACTGAGATAAGTAACTAGGTGACAGACGTAGCGAGAAGCCTCCGCCGGAGGAAGAGGGAAGCTAGCAATGCTCATCAACCACCTCCTTTCTTTCACCATGTTCTCCCACCCCCTGACCAGTTTACATAATTGCTCATCAACCAACTCCTTTCTCTCACCATCTTCTCCCACCCCCTGAACAGTTAACATAATTCCGAGATCGGATTCCCCCCTAAAAGCTCCATAATTGATTCATCCCTTCCCAGCCTCGTCCATCCTTCCCACAGTCCTTTGAGCTCCCCCCCTTGAACTTGTTCACATTCCAGGATGTGCTCCAAGTCTTCCCTAATCTCTCCACATAGCCTAAAGCTCGTGTCTTTATACCCCTTGTTCCCAGCTCGTCCAATGTTCCCGCAACGCATCCTGGCCCACGTCATTTTATCCCCCCACGTTACCCCTTTCAACCCACAATACCCTTCCTCTTCGTCAGGTCTCGTCAACCGTCTGTAGAGTGGGATGAAGGTGGAATTCTCTATTTTACGCTTATCTATATCTTGTGCTTTTGCTTCCCCTCTCCCCAGGAAGTCTTTCAATCTATCCTGGAATTCATCCCATTCAAATTCTCCCCATTTAAAGATTTCTAGGAACGCTTCCCCTCCCCATTCCTTAAGAGTCTCTCTCAGTTCCCTGCTCCATATCGATGGGTTGAAGTTTCCCAGAGCCCTCAACTCCTCTTGCAGATAGACTCGGACTAGCCTATCTCTCCCAAGCCTGCTCACTCCCCCCAGAAAGGCAAGTAACCTTCTCCTCGTATCCAGTATTAACTTCTTCCTTCCACTTTCCGCCCTCCACAGATACTGCGGCGTAATTCTTGTCACCCCCATCCCTGCCATCACAACCCTTCCCTGGACTCTTTCCATCATTTCTCTTGTTTTGAGTCCCCATATCTCCGTTCCATACATAGCCCCTGACTTCCGTAATACGTTTAAGATGTACAGCCGACTTTTGAGTGAACTCAAACCAGCTCTCATGATTACTCCCCACGCCCCATTTACTGATTTCGTGCCCTTCCCCGCCATTTTACGTACGTGTTCCCCATACGCGTTTTTGGACGAAAACCAAAAGCCTAAATATTTAAAACTGTTAACTACCTCTACCTTTTTCCCATATATTTCCCATTTTTCCCCTGTTTTCACACAACCACCCCCCTGAAAACCATAACTTTAGTTTTATTAACATTAATTGCGAGTAAATTTCTCTGAAAATATTTCTCAGCCGTATTTAACATACTTTGTAATTCCCCTGCACTTTCTGCTACCGCAACAATATTATCCGCGTACTTTAAACAAAATAATTTTACCCCCCCCCCTATCACAGTACCCCCGTCCCCTCTTCTCTCCCCATGAATCATCTATATCATCTATAAATAAATTAAACAGTATGGTGCTCAGAGGACAGCCCTGTCTCACCCCTCTACCCGTTATGAATCTGTCCGATATCCCATCCCCCGTTATCACTTCATTCTCAGTTACCTCATAAATAGCTTTAATCATGTTATAAAAACGCGCTCTGATCCCTAGCCCTCAAAGTTTTTTAAGTAGTAAATCCCTATCGACAGTATCAAATGCTGCCCTCAGGTCAACAAATGCTGCTTAGAGTTTTCCTTGCTTGTGTTTGCCGTCCCCTACTTCCTTCTCTTCTAGGCATTATTGATACTTCTCTTGGAGTACTGGCTTCCATATAACCCTGACTTTTCCCTCTGACGACTGTACTTTTTCCCTATTGCCCCTCTTCTCCTTGGGTCGGTCCCCAGGAGTGCCCCCCACCCCATGTAGAGCCAACTCTACCCCCATATGGTCAGAATCAATTGTGTGCCAAATTTTTACTTCCCCTAATACGCGTGGATCCCCTTCATATAGGACTAGATCCAGAACCGATTGGTATGCCTCATGCTGACTCCCAACAAACGTAATATCGCCCTCCCAGTCCCCAGCAATAGCTCCATTTGCCACTAACAGGCCCTCTTCGTCACAAAATTCTAATAGTTTTCTGCCCTCCCTTTTCACCACTTTGTCCCTGGATCTTCTGATGATGGAATTATCTCCCTCATCTCCTGCCTGCAGTACTCCTATAAGGGCATTAAAATTCCCATCTACCACTATGGCTTCCCCCTTATCCCGCCCGTCTTCCATTTTACCTTTGATTACTTTAAGAATTCGCTCAATTCCTACGTTATTATACCCTACTATAGTTTTACCCTTCAAACCCCCTTCCCTAAGTTTAATCCCCAATATCACAGCTCCATTGAGCCAGGTACTTGTTTCAATATCTCCCTCCAAACTCTTTTTTATCCCCACTAAAATCCCTCCCATGCCCCTTCCCTTTTTAACCCTTTTAATCGCTGCTTGATGTACCTACTTGAAATCACTGGTAATACTATTTAATTTCCTCATCAGACCTTCCTGTTGATTTTTGAGTACATGTGTTTCCAGTAGTATTATTATATCAAATTTAGCAATTTTTTCGCAAACCCTCCTGATTTTTCTCCCCTTAAACCCCCCCACATTCCAACAGGTAGCTCTGATAAAGTTCGAATTCCCCCCTCCCCCTTCATTTAGTTTAAATTATTCTCATTATTATCATTAACTCTGCCCGACTTATCTGCGACCTCGACATTCTCCTGCTCGATCAGTCCTCCTCCCGTTCTAGTCTGCTGTAGTTCCTGTGCTCTCATCAGCTCTCCAAGCACCTCGTTCCAGCGGAATTTTACATCCTCCACCCAGAGGTATTGTTGGAATCTCTCAACCATCGCCTTCCTTCCAAGCTCTCTGGCACGGACTGCCAGCGCCTCCAGATAGTCAGCCACCTCGATCATCCTTAACGTCAAATCATCCAACACCTGAACCCCTCTCTCCCTGAATCCCTTTTGAACATCCCTGTCCATCAATAGTCTCTTCTGGCTACGACTGGCCACCGTAAAGACAAATTCCCCTGTGGGCAAGGTTAACAAACCCAGTATGCCAATCTTGGCCTTGGGCTTGGCCTTGGCTCTAGCTGCGTTCCTGCTAACCAATATGAAGCTCAGTGCCTCCGTCTCTGGTGCAGCAACTAGGCCCTTGACGACCACGTTGTTCTCCCTCTATTTCCTTTCCATATCCTCATAAAACTACACTCCCTCCTTGAGTTTATCAGGTGCCCTTTGCCTCGACGCTAGTCCCTCCAGCGGGTCTGTTTGCAGACCCGTTCTCCTTCCCTTCCTCTGAGAAACGTCATCCGGGGCCCCATGATCCTGACCTCTATCCTCCCACTCATCTCGTCCTGAAGCTGAGGGCGACCTGGGGTGGGCAGGTGGCGACGCAAGAAATTCACTTCCCAAGTTGATATTGTGCTGACTGTTGTTGTTGTTGATGAGATTGACGTCATCCCCATTAGTCGTACCCGTACTCTGCGTAAACAGCTCACTGATGCCGGCGCTATCTTTCCCTCGCTCGCTGGGACACATCCCAGAACTTTTGCTACTCGTCCTCCAGTTCAATCTCTCCATTATTTCTTTCATAGCGTCTACATCCTCTGCGATACCATCCACACACGATTTCACTGTGAACAGCTTATCTCTGATCTCTCCCACCTCCGAAAGAATATCGTCCAGGGCTTTTTGGAGCGGCAAATCAAGTTTCCCAACTACCTGTGCTTTGTTTCCTCTAATCAAGAGCTCCTCCACCCCTGCCTCGATTTTCCTTACCCTCTCCTCGTACCCTTGACGACTGTCTTCCTCCTTCCCTGAGTTACAATCCTTTCCGCACAGGTGGCACACACAGGCCCTCTCCGGGTCTGTGTTTATCCCCACCTCGATCATCCTGCGCGGTCCACTCTCATTCACAGGCGCTCCCCCCTCGTCGCCATTCTTCCCATCCTG